CCCCGACTGCTGCTGCCGGCCACGCTCGGAGGCGGAGTCTGAAGAATCTGGCTGGGGGCCAAGCAGGGCCAGTGGGGCGGGGCTAACGACGCCATCATTCACCGCTCGCAGTCGGTCGCTACGCGGCGAGGATGCGGCGTCGTCGCTACGTCGTCATCGCTACGTCGTCATGGTGCCGTCACCACTACGTCACCTTCATCGTCGTCACGGCTACGATATCACCGCTACGTCACCTTCATGGTCGTCACGGCTACGATGTCACCGCTACGTCACCTTCATCGTCGTCACGGCTACGATGTCACCGCCACGTCACGGCGTGGTCGTCGTCACGGCTACGATGTCACCGCCACATCACGGCGTGGTCGTCGTCACGGCTACGGTGTCACAGCCACGTCACGGCGTGGTGGTTGTCGCCGTCACCGCATGGAGGCGAGTCGCTCCGCCTTGAACTTGGAGACGCGTCTGGGTGCAGCAGGAGGCTCGCCGGAGTGGGAGCCGTCACCACCCGCACCTGCCCTGCCGCCATCGTCGTCGTGGTGGCGGCGCGCCGTGGCTGGCGCCGTGGCTGGCGCCGTGGCTGGCGCCGTGGCTGGCGCCGTGGCTGGCGCCGTGGCTGGCGGCGGCGACAACGGCGGAGCGCCATGGGCCGATCTCTCCGAGACAACTCCAGAAAACGCCTGCGCGGGGGGGGGGGGGGGGGCAAGACAGCAGGGGAGACACGTAAAGACACGTGGAGACACGTGAGGGATATACGGGGATACTAGGACGTGGGGACAAGGAGACAGACAGGGAGACATGTGGAGACACGTGGAGACACGTGGAGACATGGAGACACTGGAGACACGTGGAGACACGTGGAGACACGTGGAGACACGTGGAGACACGTGGAGACACGTGAGGGATATACGGGGATAGTAGGACGTGGGGACAGGGAGGCAACACGGGGAGACACGTGAGGGACATGAAGATACGAGTTCAAACGGAGATGCTGACGATGCTGATGATAACAATGCTGCTACCGATGCTGATGATGCTGTTGATAATGCTGCTACCGATGCTGATGATGCTGATGATGCTGTTGATAATGCTTCTGCTGACAATGCGATTGATAACGCTGTGGCTGACGATGCTATGGATAATGCTTGTGCTGATGCTATTGATGATGCTATTGATGATGCTATTGATGATGCTATTGATGATGCTATTGATGCTGCTGCTACTGATGATGCTACTGATGATGCTATTGATAATGCTTCTGGTGCTGATGATGCTACTGATGATGCTATTGATGATGCTATTGATAATGCTTCTGCTGCTGATGATGCTATTGATAATGCTTCTGCTACTGATGATGCTATTGATAATGCTTCTGCTACTGATGATGCTATTGATAATGCTTCTGCTGCTGATGATGCTATTGATAATGCTTCTGCTACTGATGATGCTATTGATAACGCTTCTGCTGCTGATGATGCTATTGATAATGCTTCTGCTACTGATGATGCTATTGATAATGCTTCTGCTACTGATGATGCTATTGATAATGCTGCTGCTACTGATGATGCTATTGATAACGCTTACGCTACTGATGATGCTATTGATAACGCTTCTGCTGCTGATGATGCTATTGATAATGCTTCTGCTACTGATGATGCTATTGATAACGCTTCTGCTACTGATGATGCTATGATAATTGCTTCTGCTGCTGATGATGCTATTGATAATGCCTTCTGCTACTGATGATGCTATGATAACGCTTCTGCTGCTGATGATGCTATTAATTAATGCTTCTTCTGCTACTGATGATGCTATTGATAATGCTGCTGCTACTGATGATGCTATTGATAACGCTTCTGCTGCGATGATGCTATGATAACGTTATGCTGATGCTATTGATAATGCTTCTGCTACTGATTATGCTATTGATAATGCTGCTGCTACTGATGATGCTATTGATAATGCTTCTGCTACTGATTATGCTATATGATAATGCTGCTGCTACTGATGCTATTGATAATGCTTCTGCTACTGATGATGCTATTGATAATGCTTCTGCTACTGATGATGCTATTGATAATGCTTCTGCTACTGATGATGCTATTGATAATGCTTCTGCTACTGATGATGCTATTGATAACGCTTACGCTACTGATGATGCTATTGATAACGCTTCTGCTGCTGATGATGCTATTGATAATGCTTCTGCTACTGATGATGCTATTGATAACGCTTCTGCTACTGATGATGCTATTGATAATGCTTCTGCTGCTGATGATGCTATTGATAATGCTTCTGCTACTGATGATGCTATTGATAACGCTTCTGCTGCTGATGATGCTATTAATAATGCTTCTGCTACTGATGATGCTATTGATAATGCTGCTGCTACTGATGATGCTATTGATAACGCTTCTGCTGCTGATGATGCTATTGATAACGCTTATGCTGATGCTATTGATAATGCTTCTGCTACTGATTATGCTATTGATAATGCTGCTGCTACTGATGATGCTATTGATAATGCTTCTGCTACTGATTATGCTATTGATAATGCTGCTGCTACTGATGCTATTGATAATGCTTCTGCTACTGATGATGCTATTGATAATGCTTCTGCTACTGATGATGCTATTGATAATGCTTCTGCTACTGATGATGCTATTGATAACGCTTCTGCTACTGATGATGCTATTGATAATGCTTCTGCTACTGATGATATTGATAACGCTGCTGCTGCAGCTGCTACTCATGCTCACATCAGGCAGTGGACATCTTGACATCTCCTCCTCCACCACCTCCTTGCTGCTGCTGTCGGTGGTGGTGGGCGACTGACTCGTGATGGATGACTCACAGGTGAAGTGTTGTTGTTGGTGGTGGTGGAGTTGGTGGCAGTTGAGTTGTTGGTGGTGGAGTCGATGTTATTGTTGTTGCTGCTGCTGGTGACCGTTATTGTTGCTGCTGCTGCTGATGACGTTATTGTTGCCGGTTGTGTTGCCATCACCCCCCTCTGAAGGATGGAAGACCGCATCTCCGGCACAACCACCACCACCGCCACCACTACCGGCGATGATGGCGCTAATGATGGAGTCGCTGATGCTGCTGCTGCCATTGCTGCTGCCGTTGTAGCTGCTGCTGCCGTTGCTGCTTCCACTGTTGCTGCTGCTGCTGCCGCCGTAGCCGCCGTAGCTGAACTCGTCGCTACCCAGGCCGTCCTCGTGGCTGCGCGACTTCAGGATGGACTTGCGTGGGCGGCGGTGGCCGCTCGCCACGTCCACAAACCACCTGCTCCGGCCGGGGCACGCACACACGCACACACACACACGCACGCACAGGCACGCACGCACACACACGCACACACACACACAGGCACACACGCACACACAGGCACGCACGCACCACACGCACACACACACGCACCACACAGGCACGCACACACACACACACGCACGCACGCACACACACGCACACACAGGCACGCACGCACACACGGAACCGGTTCAGATAATCGTCACTGGGTGTTGGTGGCCGTGAGCGGGAATAAATCTCGGGTCACTGGGTTCGTAGCGGAGCGGAGCGCTAACCGCTACATTACCGCCTCCCCCTCCACGCATACACGAGCACAAACGGATGGACACGCGCACAGATTTACACGCACAAACACGGACACACACAACAACAACACGGCGTCTGTGCCAGGCCAGGTGCACTCCGAGGCCACGTGAAGTGTCGAAGGCTCGCCGACTCGAAGTCACGGGACACACCCAGGTGCCATGGGTTGATTGCTGTGCCAGGCTAGGTGCAGGAGGAGGTGGTCACAAGACAGACCCAGGTGCCATGGATCAACTCACTGAGATGACTGAGAGATGCACCACCTGTGCCCCCAACTCACTGCCTTTTAACCGCCCGGTGCTCCGCTCGTTGTTGTGAGCGTCGCTCCCTCTGCCCTCCGTTGTTGCTGGAGGGCGACTGCCTCCAACTGCCCAGTAGCGACCTTCACGAGCCTCCTCCACAGAGGCCGATCTTTAGACTGCTGGTACCGGTCATCGGCAAGTCCACTCAGCTCCACATCCTCCCATACCGCACCAGTCCATGTCGCGCACCCGTTGAGCTCCCTCTATCCGGCCAAACAGAAGCTGCTTGGGCAGGCGGTGGCTGGGCATGCGGGCGACGTGACCCAGCCAACGCAGCCTCGCCTCTGCCAGAGGCGCTCACCGATGTCCAGATCTCTCATGGATTTGTGAGCTCCTCACACAATCCAGCCTGCAGGTTAAACCCAGGATGGATCGTAGGCAGGCCAGCCTAAATGTTTTTAACCGGCAAAGATGTTCCATTAGGGGGGTCTACGTTTTGCAAGCGTAGAGAAGGGAGGGAATGACCGTGGCCGAGAAGACCTGAAGCTTCGTGCGGAGCGACAGACCAGGTAGCTTCCACATAGAAGCGTTACGCAACCGATGAAATTAGAATGCCGCTCGGCTGATTCGGAGGGAGACCTCTGCTGTCAAGCTGGAGCCGGTCATGAGCTCACTGCCCAAGTATGGAAAGCTTTACACTCTCTCCACAGCTGCTCTATCACACAGACACACACAGACACACACAGACACACACAGACACACACGGACACACATGGACACACACGGACACACTGACACACTGACACACGGACCTGTAGATGTCGGCCGGGGAGCGGAGAGTGGTGGTGCCGCCATTGCTACCACCGCTGTGCCTGCGCCGACGATGCTGCTGCTGCTGCTCCCTCCGCTCGCTGAACTTGAGCGTCGTGTTCCTGCCGGTGTCGATACGCACCTGGGGGGAACGCAGGGCGGATCGCTCACCCACTCGCTCACCCGCCTACTCACCAGCTCGCTCGCCCACCCACCCACTCGCGTACCCGTCCACTCACCCACTCACCCGCTCGCTCACCAACCCGCCCGCTCGCTCACCCACCCACCCACCAGCTCGCACACCCATTCGCTAACCCGCCCACTCACCCACTCACCCGCTCGCTCACCAACCCACCCGCCTGCTCACCTACTCGCTCGCTCACCCATTCACTAACCCGCCCACTCACCCACTCACCAGCTCGCTCACCAACCCACCCGCCTGCTCACCTACTCGCTCGCTCACCCATTCGCTAACCCGCCCACTCACCCACTCACCCGCTCGCTCACCAACCCACCCGCCCGCTCGCTCGCCCCGCCTGCTGAATGAGTGCACTAATGAGTCACGAATGAGAATACGAGTGAGAGTAGCGTGGGCCACCTTCTTGGGTTCCGTCGTGTGGGAGAAGCGAATGGTGGGCGTCCCCTCCCACTCCGTGAGGTCGTCGCCAAGCCCCTCGCCCTCCCACGCAGACCCCTCCTGCTCCTCTCTGGGTAGACAAAGACAAAGATCCCCGTGTAGCCTCTAACAGACTCTAGGGGAAAGTGTTCCGAGCGAGTAGCAGCGCCTATGAGGGTTGACACGGCACACGAGGGGGTGGGTGGCCAGCACCACGCCCGGCCGCCTTTGTATCCCCAGTGACGATGTGGACTACGACACACCGCACCAGCTACTCAATTGAGGCCGAGTCGACCTAGGGGAGGCCCAGGATCGGATCAAATAATCGCCGTGAGCGGGAATCTAACTCGGCCCGCCGGGTTCGTAGCGTAGCGCGCTAACCAGCTGCGCCATCTCTCTCTGGGTAGAAAGAGAAACACACCCACCCTGTAATTGAGTGCATGAGTGGGTGAACGAGCGAATTAAATGGTGAGTTACCACATCTTTGAATGTGTCACTGAATGAGTCTATCGGTCTCTGTTTGTTGAGTTTATGGGACTTTGCTGTGTGATGAGTCTATGGGTCTCTATCTGGTGAGTCTATGGGTCTCTGCTGTGTGGTGAGTCTATGGGTCTCTGTTTGTTGAGTTTATGGGACTCTACTGTGTGGTGAGTCTATGGGTCTCTACTGTGTGGTGAGTCTATGGGTCTCTGTTTGTTGAGTTTATGGGACTCTACTGTGTGGTGAGTCTATGGGTCTCTGCTGTGTGATGAGTCTGTAGCTCTCTGCTGTGTGATGAGACTATGGGTCTCTGCAGTGTGATGAGTATATGGGTCTCTGCTGTGTGATGAGTCTGTAGCTCTCTGCTGTGTGGTGAGTCTATGGGTCTCTGCTGTGTGATGAGTCTATGGGTCTCTGCTGTGTGATGAGTCTATGGGTCTCTACTGTGTGATGAGTCTATGGGTCTCTGCTGTGTGATGAGTCTATGGGTCCCTACTGTGTGATGAGTCTATGGGTCTCTGCTGTGTGATGAGTCTATGGGTCTCTACTGTGTGGTGAGTCTATGGGTCTCTGCTGTGTGATGAGTCTATGGGTCTCTGCTGTGTGATGAGTCTGTGGGTCTCTGCTGTGTGATGAGACTATGGGTCTCTGCAGTGTGATGAGTCTATGGGTCTCTGCTGTGTAATGAGTCTATGGGTCTCTGCTGTGTGATGAGTCTATGGGTCTCTGCTGTGTGATGAGTCTATGGGTCTCTACTGTGTGATGAGTCTATGGGTCTCTGCTGTGTGGTGAGTCTATGGGTCTCTGCTGTGTGATGAGTCTATGGGTCTCTGCTGTGTGATGAGTCTGTGGGTCTCTGCTGTGTGATGAGTCTATGGGTCTCTGCTGTGTGATGAGTCTATGGGTCTCTACTGTGTGATGAGTCTATGGGTCGCTGCTGTGTGATGAGTCTATGGGTCTCTGCTGTGTGATGAGTCTGTGGGTCTCTGCTGTGTGATGAGACTATGGGTCTCTGCTGTGTGATGAGTCTATGGGTCTCTGCTGTGTGATGAGTCTATGGGTCTCTGCTGTGTGATGAGTCTATGGGTCTCTGCTGTGTGATGAGTCTATGGGTCTCTACTGTGTGATGAGTCTATGGGTCTCTGCTGTGTGATGAGTCTATGGGTCTCTGCTGTGTGATGAGTCTATGGGTCTCTGCTGTGTGATGAGTCTGTGGGTCTCTGCTGTGTGATGAGTCTATGGGTCTCTGCTGTGTGATGAGTCTATGGGTCTCTACTGTGTGGCGAGTCTGTGGGTCTCTGCTGTGTGATGAGTCTATGGGTCTCTGCTGTGTGATGAGTCTATGGGTCTCGGCTGTGTGATGAGTCTATGGGTCTCTGCTGTGTGATGAGTCTATGGGTCTCTGCTGTGTGATGAGTCTGTGGGTCTCTGCTGTGTGATGAGTCTATGGGTCTCTACTGTGTGGCGAGTCTGTGGGTCTGCGTGACGAATCTATGGATGTTACTCACTTAGAACTTTTGGTGGTTACCGATATGTGACGGTGGATTTGATTGGACTCTGAATCTTCCAAAATATCTCCACCACCACCAGCATTATCATCAGCAATGTCACCATCAGCAACATCATCAGCATCAGCAGGGTTGCTATCTTCTGCCCTGTTGGTAAAGATAAGGGTTTGGCATGATCATCATAGCAGCAACTATTGATAACACCACTATCATCAGCAGCAGAGGGAATGAAAATCACCACCACTACTTTCATGACTACTAACATTAAAGACAAAGATGCCCCGTGGAGCCTTAGCACATTGTTGGGGCAAGTGCTGCTAGCGAGTAGCAGCAGCAGCGCCTATGAAGGCCGGCAATGTGGCACACGAGGGGGTGGGTGGCCAGCACCATGCCCGGCCGCCTTTGTCTCCCCAGTGGAGATGTTTACGCACCGCACCAGGCACTCATTTGAGGCCGAGCCGACCTTGGGGATGCCCAGGACCTCTTCACATAATCGTCACCGGTGTTGGCCGCGAGCGGGAATCGAACTCGGGTCGCCGAGTTCGTAGCGCCAAACACCACACAACCGCTCCCCACGACCACCACCACTACCACCACCACTACCACCACCACGACCACCACCACTACCACCACCACGACCACCGCCACTACCACCGCCACTACCACCGCCACTACCACCGCCACTACCACCGCCACGACCACCACCACTACCACCGACACTACCACCGCCACGACCACCGCCACGACCACCACCACCACCATGTTGTATACTAACCCTTCTTCCAAAATTGAGATTAATAATATTTGATGATTTTTATATATTATCTTTTTACTTGTTTTTTTTTTTAAACACACCAAAGCGCAGCAAACTGCAAAACACCAGGTGTTGTTAAGTAATGAACTGGAGGAGGGCTAGGATGGCAGAATTTGCAACCTTGCTTCAAGGAAAGATAAGGCCTGATGAACGGGCACATGTCACCCGTGCAGGCGGCAGAGACAGTGGGAGTGTCAGCCAGACATAGTTAAGGCAAAAAGCCCAACCATCCTGCATGGTTTTAAAGTAACGTCAAAATTCGAAATTCAACAACAGAGTAGGCTAAAGTATCGATCCTCGCGCTCGCTCAAATTGGAGACCAGGCTGCGAGCTACATCAATGAACCATTGCCATTTGCTAATCCAATACTGAATGTTAATATTACTGAAGTCAAAACGAATTCTATGACCTCAGCACATGGGCAAATAATAGGGCAGTGTCGACTCAAAGGCAATGGAAGAAAGCAGAGGCGCCTTTGTCTAAATCACAACCACAGAAAGCCAGGAATCATCACTGATTGTGTGTTTAGGGATTCCGAGCTAGTTAGAACACGTGCACACAGGGGGGAGGTAGAAGTACGCCTTGTCCTCCTGCAGCTGAGGGAACGAAAATAAGTGGGTCAGCTCAAGGCTGTGTGCACAGGGGAGGGAGCTGATTTAAACAACCCTGCACGTCTGAACGTGAGGGTGCCTTTGACCTGAAATTAAGAATAACACTCCCAGAGCAGAAGGTTGGATGGCCACAGTGAGGAGAATAAGAGTGTTTTGTATCTCTCAAGGAGGCAGACCCAGCTGAACAACAAGGCTGCGGGGGTCACCAGAAGTTCGCGTTCGCCTAGTTAAGACAAAAAGCTCAATTATTCTGTATTGCTATTAAAGTAACGTTAAAGTCGGAATTTAACAACAGGGTAGGCTAAAGTTATTGATATTCACACCCACTCCAATTAAACCAGGCCACAAGTTACGCCTACTGAACCATCACCATCATTAAGTCAATATGAAATGTTATTTCCATACTTTAATACTTTCTATACAACTCGACCCGAAGCATATGACAATCAGAACCTTCCTAAGTTAAAATTGAATCACACCCAGACAGGAGCGAATAGTCGATATAAGGTTGAAGAGGGAAGGAAATTAAGAGCACGGCGAACTGCAAACGTAAGCAAAAAGCCGGGAACGACCAGCCCAGCAACAGCGAGTCGGGCTTCGACAGGCCATAAAAGTAGAAATAATAACTCCCGGGGTCAGGGGACACAAGAAGAAGCAGGCAGACAAAAACCAGAACTGACTCCAAGGTTCAACCGCCCTCACACACAAGGAGTGACGGAAATTAATGAGGCCTTGAGTTAACGGCGTCAGCTGGACAGCAACAACCACGGCGAGCAGAGATAGGGTGGGGCAAAGACTGCGGGGCTATGGAATGCAACTTCGTGTCAGTAAAGCCCTGACAAACAAGTTAAGTTAAAGACATCACAATACATAATATCGTACATAACATCAATGTTAACGCTATTCACCGTAAACTATATTCCGCTTATATAACCATGCAGACACCAAGGAATACGAATTCCTAGGATCAAGAAACTTACCCCTTAACCTAAGATATCGGAAATAAATTAATAGTAATAAGCATATGCATGAAAAGACAAAGTAAAACTTATGGAAAAGCCAGGATAACGGGATGAATCACCACCAGGTCGAATATAAATACATAATAAAAAAAAACCGATGTTAAACCCAGGGTCGGAGAGAAAGGGAGATCCCGGCCATCTTTGTATCCCCGCAGCGCGGGATAGGAGTGTGTATACGCTCGGGGAAACACCTCCACTTGAGTCAAGCACCACGATGGGAAACGACAGACCTTAGGTTACATACAGAATCATAACTGTGAAATAGAAAGGGACAAATGTTAACTTAAAACTTTTTAACCATTTCTTTGTGCGCCGGGTCGGAGAGAGTGTTGCCCCTCCCTCCAGGTTGTGCAACACGAACAAAGACGCCTATGAGACGATTTGTAACGTCTGTGTTTTGGGTTCATGAAGAAGGCCAGACAAGAGATAATATTGCACCCAGACAGAGAGACGACTTCGAGGCAATTTGTAACATCTGATTGTTTGCTCGTGGGTTTTATGGAGGGAGGGTGACAACGGAATATACCGTGAGTGATGCACACAAGGACATACGGACGTACAGACACACACATGGACACACCTGCCTACGGACAGATCCTGACACAGCAAAAATCGAAAGAAGCCCCGCCTTGTGGGCGGGATCCAGGGGGATTTTTCGGCATAAAGGAAAGGATCCTGAGCATTGGAAACCAGTGCGACCAGCGGGTCGGCTCACGTGGGGGGTGCGACCAGCGGGTCGGCTCAGGAGCGAGCTCGACCGGGAGGGTCGGCTCAGGAGCGAGTGCGACCAGCGGGTCGGCTCGACTCATCTTCAGCTCGTCTGGGACTCAGCCGAGTTCGATCGGCTTACCAAAGCCGGCTCTCGGGGCTCGACTCAAGCGGCTCCCCATCTCCTCTGCAGGCGGGCAAGACCCGCTTGACAGCTCAACTCAGCCTGCGTGGGTCAACCTCTGCCGAGTCGGAGGTCTCTGCTGCCGCCGGAGTGGTGAGGGTCGCGGTTTGGCGACGAGGCTCCGTGCACTGCACGCTGCGAGCGAGTTGTGGGCGCCACCTACCGACCGGGTTCCGAACTGCGACAGCGTATCAACGGGCATCCGAACCAGTTCACCACGGTGACAGGGGAGCGACTGATACGTATGACGCGCACCGCCCCCTCACCACACGACCACCAGGCGTCTGTTTGACATAAAGAATCGACTCCGAACACTGACTATTCAAGACAACTCTTACCACTCAAACACACTCGAACCCATAAGCCATCTGTGGCTGGGAAGGCATCACAACGAGACCGAGTGATGGCCATCCGTCGTTTATAAAAGTATTCGTAATTTTTATCTTTATATTTAGCGGGCTGTACTCTTAATCGCATAAATTCCCAACAGATCCATCAATACGAACTGATTCTTGGCACCTCCTTCCGCCGAGCCACGCTCACGTGGGGAGTGGTGGCCCACCGGATCCTTATCAGGTGATCTGGTCCCCAATTAGTAAACTTGGTATAAGATAACGATCTTCGGAAAAGGAGCACCGTCGCAGGCCCTTACTCCGAGCCGTTCTGTTGTCAGATAACCTGCCGATGTATCTGTTGAGATTGATGCCTTTAAGAATAATAACTGTTTTTGATTGTGTTTTTTTTTATCGCCGTATAATCTTTCAAGTATCTTTCAGTCATAATCGCCGCACGTACTCGCATCCTCTACAGAATATTCAACTGTCCCGTGACCCAAGGTGCTAACAACGTGATAAGGGTTGCGTATGATCAATAAGGAGTGCGGTACTGCGTGAACAATATTGAGTATAATCATTCATTAACGTTAAGGTTTTCTTAGCATAGTATTTGCATATTTTAACGACTCTCTCTCTCACTAACAACCATCGCGTTATGCGGGATCCATGTGCCGTTGTCAAAGTGAAATAAGACAATCGTTGATGATACTGTATTGATGCCGTGTTGACGTTCCGGGATTGAGAGTTCGCATATTATATCATAGTTAAGGTTGAATTAGTAATAAATTGATCAATACAGAAGTGGTTGTGTGATTCTTTCCTGAAATCTATGCATAAGATCTGCTTCTGCGTTGAGATCTGAACTTGGTGACCTTAATAAACACACTAACACATACTCAGTAAATGTTAAAGCGATAACGGGGTGAATCGGGGACCTAAAATATAACCACGAATACACACTCTGGGAATGTTAAAGCGAGAATGAGACGAACCTAGACAACGATGCCGAGTTAATCTAAGTCAATCTTGCATACTTACACCACACCTGCATAACTGCATACGATTAATTGCCTTATTCCGATCGATAACCCACCCTCATCACCGAGGCGGGGTCTGGTTATCATAACGACTTGGATTATCATAATTACACCCACTCGCATAATTAATACGATTACCTCTCGAATTGGCATAATTAAAATGTGCATAATTACATAAATTAACATATTTCCGGATAATTACACATTTGGCCAAATTTCATTTAATTATTATTTTCACTGAATATTCATAACCCACATATACAACATAATAATTTCACCCACGCACGCATACAACATAACAAATTTTGATAACCAACATATACAACAACCACTACCACCACCACCACGACCACCGTCACCTGAACACTTCATCCATCGCCTCCTCCTCCCTCTCCAGCTCATCCAGCCTCGCCCAGATACGACTCATCTCCTCCGTGTCCTCTCGCTGGTGACGGGGGTCGGGAGGTGCGGCCGGGGTCTCGCGGGGAGGGGCGGGGGGGGGCCTCGAGTGGGGGCTGTGGGCCACCCGCGGCTTTCCTGCACAGACACCGCCCCAAGATGAGACTCGGGGTCCCAGGGTCAGAGACCAGGCAGCACCAGGCTCGGTGCCTCGCGCTCAACTCCGGTGTCGGGCTCGCGACCTCACCTTTCTGCCTCGGTTCATCGTTCTCCAACTCCTCCCGTATTTCCATATTCCCCCTTTCCTGACGACGGGGAAAAAAATAAAGTCAACTCTTATTTGACGACGCCGACGACGTGAAGGCTCCCCCCACCATCTCTAACCTTGTCCAGCCTTGGGAGTTATTGACGACGCTGACAAGGCCATCCTACCCCCTCACCTTGTCCAGCCCCGCGAGCTCGCTGGTGAACCTCTGACGGGACTCAACGCTCCCCTGCGCTCTGCCCAGGTCGTCGATCGTCTTCTGGACGTCTGGGGAGACACGTGGGGTGGGTGGGGGGGCGGGCAAGACAGACTCTGAAGATTTATACTGAAGGAATTCAATAAGCTCCGAAGCTCTTTGGAACAGATGTTTCAGTAGGGGCACAGGGGTAGAACATTACAACAAACACAACAAAACACAAACGCGATAGCAGTCAAAGTATAGGAAAGGCAAAAACAAATCACTTAAAATATCTACGTACAAATACCAGGCGAGACACATGGAAGTACAGTACAACGGTGACCCAGTACCACAGCCCGTCCGTCGCTCGCTCTAGCCGGAGGTTCGAGCTCGGCAAGCAGCCCCGGTGAATACTGCGGTGGTGCGTGTGTCTAGGTCGACTCAGCCTCAAATGAGTACACGTCTGTGAGGAAGAGCGTTGAAGCTCAACGGATTCCTCCAGCGTCAATAAACATTCTGATTCTGAGTAGCTGGTGCAGCGGTGTGTAGTGAACACCGCTAGCACTGGGGAGACAAAGGCGGCCGGGCGTGGTGCTGGCCACCCACCCCCTCGTGTGCCAGTGGCGGCCTTCATAGGTGCTGTGTGTGCACGTGTGTCTGTGTGTGTGCGTCTGTGTGTGTGCATCTGTCTGTGTGTGTGCATCTGTCTGTGTGTGTGCATCTGTCTGTGTGTGTGCGTGCCATCTCAGTCAGTCGACCCATGGCACCTGGGTCTGCCCCGTGACCTCCAGCCAGCGGGAGTTCGACACTTCACGTGGCCTTAACGTGCACATGGCCTGGCACAAGCGCCGTGGTGACGTCACCGCCACTTAGTGATGAATGGCGGTTGTTGCGTATGTGCGCGCGTCTGCGTCTGTCTGTGTGTCTATGTGCGTGTGTCTGTCTGCGTGTGTGTCTGTGTGTGTGTCCGTCTCTGTGTGTCTGTCTGCGTGTGTGTGTGTGTCTGTGCGTGCGTACGTTGCATGCGGTGCTCTGCGATGCCTTCCGCTTGCTTGGCCGATAACGAGGCGAACCAATTGTCTCCCAGCAGCACCGTCACCTCATTAGTCTTAATGAGGTGGCCAGGCATGAAGGCGAGGGGCCCCATGGGTACCTGTAATGACAAAGGTACCAACCTCAACGTGAACTGCCTTCAACGGACCGTTGGGGCGAGTGCTCTTAGCAGCGAGTAGCCGCACCTAAGGAGGCCGGCACAGTGGCACACGAGGAGGTGGGTGGCCAGTACCACGCCGGGTATGCGTCTGTGTGCGTGCGTGGACACGCACCATGACGCTGTAGTGCAGGCGATCGGGAAGGGTGCTGAGGCGGTCTCGCAAGACACTATAATCCATCCGAACCTTCTCCCTAACGACACGCACAACACACAGACCGGGCCTCAGGGTCTCAGTGTCTAGAGTGGAGACCGGGTCTCAGTCTCTAGAGTGGAGACCGGGTCTCAGGGTCAGAGTCTGGAGTTGACATCGGGTGTGTGCAATGAAACTTCATCTCACCAGTGCTGTATCTTGGCCCTGCAATCCGAGACCACCTGTGTTGTGCACAAGACAAATTATTACGTTGATGACCACCACCATGACGAGTGCTGCTTCCGCTGCGTTGGCGGTGGCGCACAACAACAACATCCAACTCGCAATGCTTTGACGAACGCGTTTTAGTTTCCGGTTCGCAATAACAACAATCACCATTCAGTTCATTCACACCACCTACGCATTCAAGAGTTCAACTCTCAAACATCTGTCCCGAGGGCCGATTCACCGGGTTGCCCATCCACACCACCACCACAATCACTGGGTTAAAACACCACCACCACCACCACAACAACAACAACAATCACTGGTTTAAAACACCACCACCACCACAATCACTGGTTTAAAACACCACCACAACAACAACAATCACTGGGTTAAAACACCACCACCACTACCACAACAACAACAATCACTGGTTTAAAACACCACCACCACTACCACAACAACAACAATCACTGGTTTAAAACACCACCACCACCACAATCACTGGTTTAAAACACCACCACCACCACCACCACCACAACAACAACAACAATCACTGGTTTAAAACACCACCACCACCACTACCACAACAACAACAATCACTGGTTTAAAACACCACCACCACCACCACAATCACTGGTTTAAAACACCACCACCACCACCACAACAACAACAATCACTGGTTTAAAACACCACCACCACCACTACCACAACAACAACAATCACTGGTTTAAAACACCACCACCACAACAACAACAATCACTGGTTTAAAACACCACCACCACCACTACCACAACAACAACAATCACTGGTTTAAAACACCACCACCACCACCACAATCACTGGTTTAAAACACCACCACCACCACCACAACAACAACAATCACTGGTTTAAAACACCACCACCACCACTACCACAACAACAACAATCACTGGTTTAAAACACCACCACCACCACCACAATCACTGGTTTAAAACACCACCACCACCACCACAACAACAACAATCACTGGTTTAAAACACCACCACCACAACCACCACAACAACAACAATCACTGGTTTAAAACACCACCACCACCACAATCACTGGTTTAAAACACCACCACCACAACAACAACAATCACTGGGTTAAAACACCACCACCACAATCACTGGTTTAAAACACCACCACCACCACTACCACAACAACAACAATCACTGGTTTAAAACACCACCACCACCACAATCACTGGGTTAAAACACCATCACCACCACCACAACAATCACTGGTTTAAAACACCACCACCACCACTACCACAACAACAACAATCACTGGTTTAAAACACCACCACCACCACCACAATCACTGGTTTAAAACACCACCACCACAACAACAACAATCACTGGTTTAAAACACCACCACCACCACAATCACTGGTTTAAAACACCACCACCACCACCACAACAACAACAACAATCACTGGTTTAAAACACCACCACCACCACCACAACAACAATCACTGGGTTAAAACACCACCACCACCACCACCACAACAACAATCACTGGTTTAAAACACCACCACCACCACCACAACAACAATCACTGGGTTAAAACACCACCACCACCACCACAACAACAACAATCACTGGTTTAAAACACCACCACCACCACTACCACAACAACAACAATCACTGGTTTAAAACACCACCACCACCACAATCACTGGGTTAAAACACCACCACCACCACTACCACAACAACCACAATCACTGGTTTAAAACACCACCACCACCACCACCACAATCACTGGTTTAAAACACCACCACCACCACCACCACAATCACTGGTTTAAAACACCACCACTACCACCACCACAAACACTGGGTTAAAACACCACCACCACCACAACAATCACCAGCACAGCACCGGGTTACAGCAGCGCCACCACCAGCAGCAGCAGCGACACGAGGTAGACGGGGGGCGGGGGCTGGTTGAGCCACAGCGATGGGGGCGCCACCTTCGCGTGCGCCTCTTGCAGTCGCTGCGCGCTGCCCGGGTCGCCCATCGTCAACCGGCAGGACGTGCTGCTGCTGCTGCTGTAGTTGTTGATGTAGTTGTTACTGCTGTTGATGATGTAGTTGTTGATGTAGTTGTTACTGCTGTTGATGATGTAGTTGTTGATGTAGTTGTTACTGCTGTTGATGATGTAGTTGTTGATGTAGTTGTTACTGCTGTTGATGATGTAGTTGTTGATGTAGTTGTTACTGCTGTTGATGATGTAGTTGTTGATGTAGTGTTACTGCTGTTGATGATGTAGTTGTTGCTGCTGTTGACGCTGTTGTTGATGATGTAGTTGTAGTTGACGCTGCTGTTGATAATGTAGTTGTAGTTGACGCTGCTGTTGATAATGTAGTTGTTGCTGCTGTTGTTGTTGATGATGTAGTTGTTGCTGCTGTTGTTGTTGATGTAGTTGTTGCTGTGAAGATCAGGACGAGGTCGAGCACCATCCACGATCCTCCTGCTCTGCCCCCACAACGTGTCACCACCCCCGCCACCAACAACACCACCACCACTACCACCACCACCACCAACACCACCACCACCACTACCACCACCACCACCAACACCACTACCACCACCACCACCAACACCACCACCACCACTACCACCACCACCACCAACACCACTACCACCACCACCACCACCACTACCACCACCAACACCACCACCAACACCACCACTACCACTACCACCACCACCACCAACACCACTACCACCACCAACACCACTACCACACTACCACACCACCACCACTACCACCAACACCACTACCACCACCACCACCACCACCACCACTACCACCACCAACACCACCACCAACACCACCACTACCACTACCACCACCACCACCAACACCACCACCAACACCACTACCACCACCACCAACACCACCACCAACACCACCACCACCACCACCAACACCACTACCACCACCACCACCAACACCCCCCACCACCAACACCAACAACACCACCACCACCACCAACAACACCCCCCACCACCAACACCACCACCACCAAATCAACTCTCCAAGATCGCAACCCTCCTACGACCCGCGGGGCGAGCGAGCGAGCGGCTTGTTGTTGTTGTTGTTCAGTGTCTACTACTACAGCTGCAGCAGCCAGGCCATGCACGGGGCTGCCTGCGCGTCGCCGGCGACGAGAGAGCGCGCATTGCAAACGCAGGGCGCTCTCACTCCTCCTCCTTCTGCTCTGTCTGGGTCGCCAGAGGTTGGAGAGGAAACAAACCTCGTCCCTGCTGCCGCCGCTACCGCCGTGTCAACAACAACAACGAGAACCACTCGGGGCCGCCATGTCACCTCCAGCGCGCGATGCACCACGGGAGAATAAACACAGCGGAAGCGCGGTGACGTCACCCGCACAGCCTCATGAATATTCACGAGTCACAGCATCATGAATATTCACGAGTCACAGCATCATGAATATTCACGAGTCACAGCATCATGAATATTCACGAGTCACAGCATCATGAATATTCATGAGGCACAACATCATGAATATTCACGAGTCACATCATCATGAATATTCATGAGGCTGTGACTCATGAATATTCACGAGTCACAGCATCATGAATATTCACGAGTCACAGCATCATGAATATTCACGAGTCACAGCATCATGAATATTCATGAGGCTGTGACTCATGAATATTCACGAGTCACAGCATCATGAATATTCACGAGTCACAGCATCATGAATATTCACGAGTCACAGCATCATGAATATTCACGAGTCACAGCATCATGAATATTCATGAGGCTGTGACTCATGAATATTCACGAGTCACAGCATCATGAATATTCACGAGTCACAGCATCATGAATATTCATGAGGCTGTGACTCATGAATATTCACGAGTCACAGCATCATGAATATTCACGAGTCACAGCATCATGAATATTCATGAGGCTGTGACTCATGAATATTCACGAGTCACAGCATCATGAATATTCACGAGTCACAGCATCATGAATATTCACGAGTCACAGCATCATTAATATTCATGAGGCTGTGACTCATGAATATTCACGAGTCACAGCATCATGAATATTCACGAGTCACAGCATCATGAATATTCATGAGGCTGTGACTCATGAATATTCATGAGGCACAGCATCATTAATATTTATGAGGCACAGCCTCATGAAGGTTCTCTCGGAAAAGACTTTGTGGTGCCACAACGACGGGGCCGCTCTGCCGAACCAGGGAGCCGCCCGGCTTCCCCCACCGCACTGCCCCCCATCACCCGCCCACATAAGCACACACCCGCACGCATTCCCCCCCCCATAGAGCTGGAAGGGAAGGTCACCTGATCGACCGGTTTTTATCCGAGAGGCCCTTATCGGGATTAATTCTCACGGTTTCCGGCGATCAGGGAATTGGATGACCTCCCCGTGCTACGTGGCACCGCGGCGCTGCGGCCGGCCTTAATATGGTAGGTCGTGGCGTGGGGCATTCGGCCACCGCGGTTGAGGCGCATTTCCCCCCACACACACTCCCACGGGTCGACGGGGCGAGCAGGGGAGGCACGGGACAGCATGAATAGCGGGGTCACAGGGGCTGTTGCGCATAGTCATGGAGGGTTGGGATAATTGCGCTTGAGCGCGCAGGCCCCATTGTTAGGGAGGGTAAGGGATTAAGTAGGATTTACGCCTTGCACGCGGCACACTGATTAGCATATCAACAGCACCCAGAACCGCCGTGCGCGTGCCAGAGGATCGCGAGCCCATTGTTTAGCGCAGCATCCCCTTGAAGGTAGGGAGGATAAATAGAGGGGCGCAGAGGGAAAATAGCTCCCTTCTCTCCAGGCCAGCGGACCAGCAGGACTTCCAGCCAGCGACCCGGACGTCCGTGCGACGCACCGAGGTACGCTGTTAGCGCAGAGAGCAGCGAACCTCCGCGGGCACCAAACAGTGAATAGGGAGGTGGGGTAACGTAAACGGAATAGGGGATGCAGGCGGGAGGGACCCCGGGGGCCAACGGCCCCCACAAATTGGTGTCGGAAGCGGTACGGACCCCCGCGTTACCTCACGCTAAAATAAGACTAATATTTACCGGCCGGGGGGCCCCTTCGTGGAAGGCATTCGCCCGCAATCTCTTAGGGGCCAAGGAAATTAATGGATGGATGGACGCGCAGGCAGTACGTCAACTTAATATGAATCTTGATGGGCGGGCAGCCGATTTTGTAGAAGCGTTACCCGCGAGCGCACAGACACAGCTAGAGGAGCTGATGCGCCGACTCGATCAGCGTTTTGGCACGCGTGACGAGGAGGAAGCAAAATCGGCCTTAGAGGCGCGCCGGCGCCAACCTGGCGAAGATCTACGTGATTACGCCGAGGATGTGTGCGAGTTAACAAAGATCGCACGCCCGGGGTACGCAGCTGATGTTATTGAGGAACTGGCCGCCGAGAAAATCCAGCGGTACCTGTCTCGCACGGCGTGGTGGCAGCCAGACATGAGCTGCCCACGTCTTCCCTTTAACACCCTTGTCGAGCGCGCACGTAAGTGTGAAAGAATTCACAGCGAACGCGCGCAGCTCCGGGGGCTGGGACGAGAGCGCGCCATTGCGAGCCTGCTCTCGGAAGACGAGGAGGAGGAACAGGAGCTCGCAAGGACGGTAAGGGGCCGGGAAAGAGAGCCTCCAGTGTCCCGCGAGACAACCCCGGGATGGGTTGCCGGTATACAAACGGGTATAAAGGATGTCTCCGGCCAGGTAACCCAGATAGACAACAAGGTAAACCAAGTAGGTGAGAGGGTAACCCAGGTACGCGAGGAAACGAATACAAATATGACCAAACTGCAATCCTCCGTTGAGACCATCCGATCCGAGATGGGGGAACTAGACTCCACGGTAGGAGGGCTAACTGGAAGGATAGCGCGACTAGAAGCAGAGTATGAGCAGCAGCGCACTGGGGGAGGAGGGAGTGGGCAGAGAGCCCACTACGGAGCCGCCACCCCTTCCCGGGCATGTTATATGTGCGATCGCCGAGGGCATCTAGTGAGGGACTGTCCTCAGGTCGCCCGAGCTAGACAAGAGCTAAGGTCAAACACTAAGGCCCCCCTAGAGAGGGGACCACCGGGGGGTGAAATCGACGTAGCCCCGACACAAACAAGGTGTGAGAATAATGGCGAGCGAGTGATCTCCACACAGGTTCCAGCAACAACGCCCACGGAAACGATGATTCCTGGCGACTGGCTGCGGGAGCTGGTGGCGGGGATCACGGGGGCCACATCGCTGGTGGAAGGGGAGGTAAACGGAGTGCGTACCCGAATCCTGCTGGACACGGGGGCGGTGGCCTCGCTCGTGAGCGCAGCGCACTGCAGCGCGATCGGGGTCGACGTGCGTCACCTGCAGGCCCCGGACCGCGCGCTGCACACTGCGAGCGGAGCCGGAATGGGGCTGCTGGGGAGAGCCACCCTAGAGGTCCGCATAGGCAGCCAGGTGTGCACGCAGGAGTTCTACGTGTCGAGTGCGTTGTGTCACGAGTGTATCGCAGGCACCGACCTCCTAGAACGGTTGGGACTCAACGTGCAACCCCGCCAGCGATGCGCCACCATGGAGAGCAACGGCGAGCGGATACCGTTCCTGGGACGAGAACCAACCCGCCGCCGCTTTGCACCTGTGGCCGCTATCCTGGCGACGGCAGTCACCATCGGCCCGCTCACCGAGATGCTGGTGCCGGTGGCAACATCCCCCACCGACCCCGCGCTCCGACCATCAGGGGAGGTAATGCTAACTCCTCACCCGGAGTTGGCAAAACGGTATGGGGTTGTGGGATCCGCCACGTTGGTAAACGCAGATGGGGACCGATTGTTTATGCGGATGTTTAACCCCCACAATACCCCCGCGATACTGCGACGGCGCACCCCGATAGCCACAGTACACCCCCTGCACGCACGCCACTCTCACGACTCGGTGTTCGCACTCTGGGCTGAGGACCCCGGTCGTCCTGAGGGTGAGCAGGACCTGGCCTGGCGAGTCGGCCCGACTCCCCGAGCCGAGGTCGTTCCCCTGCTCGACGCGTTACATGTACCATGGGCGGACTTACCTAAGGGAGAGGCCGATCGGCTGCGCGAGTTACTGCGGGAGTATGCCGACGTGTTCAGCGAACACGACTCGGACGTGGGTCGGACCGACCTTGTTAAGCACCAAATTGACACCGGTGCAGCCCGACCCATCAAACTCCCTGCGTACCGAGTGGGCGCACCCGAACGCACCCAGATCAAGGAGGCGGTTGGGGACATGCTTCGCGATAACATAATTCAGCCCTCGGCGAGCCCCTGGTCAGCCCCAGTGGTACTAGTAACGAAAAAGGATGGGTCAACCCGGTTCTGCGTCGATTACCGTAAACTAAATGCAGTCACGCTCGGCGATGCCTTCCCCATACCCCGCATCGACGACACCTTCGACAGTCTCGCAGGAGCGCGGTATTTTTCCACCCTCGATCTGGCGTCCGGTTACTGGCAGGTGGAGATGACGGAGGAGGATCGGCCAAAAACAGCATTCACCACCCCGATGGGCCTGTTTGAGTTTCGAGTGTTGCCGTTCGGACTCACTAACGCGCCCGCGACGTTCCAGCGGCTGATGGAGTTGGTGATGCGGGG